ATGAAACTAAGTTGACTTTTATTTGTATTTCATAACCATTCAACAAATTTATTTTGTGTACATTATTATAATCACTACTGAGTACAGTAATAATCAACAATTCAGAAACGCAGCATGCCGAGATTTTTGTGTTCGTTTTTATTTGAAACTTCGTTTATTTAGAATATATTTTCGTTACCAATAAAATAAAAATCTCTCAGTCAATCAGAAACCCGGATTCATGCCTTTGAGGAAGGTCCCGTTTGAACGCTCACATCGTTTTTTTTTTCGTTTGGGGGAAAACTAAAACTGGTCGCAATTTTCGAATAAGAATGAGTCGGCAATTTTTAGTGGAGTCGAAAATTTGGAGGTGAATAAAACACCGAAACCCGGCAAATAAATAGGCGGTCAAATTTTTAGAGGGGTCGAAATTTTGGAGTTTTCACGGTGCTAATTATTCCATTTCAATGAAACTTAGTACAAAGATGCTCTAGGACAATGTACAAACCTAATTAGTTTGGGGTAAAAATCTGTTCATATTAATTCCCTAATAAGCATAATAATTCATAATTTTTTGGTTCTAATCACATTTCAATTAAACTTGGAGACATAGATTTTCTGTTACATTGCGCAGACCTCATTAGTTTTACACTCAAATCTGGTCATATTAATTTTCTGATTTGCATAATTAGTTTTCAGCTAAGTAATTTCGAATTATATTTAATGTGTCTCCAATACTCTCAGCACATGGGAGTTCTTTCTAAGCTTTCTTTGATTTCATGTTGACTTCAGAGTAAAATCATGTGACAGGCTGTTTAAATTGGCTGTTGCATACACTTTCGGTGGTCTGGAAAATGTGTTTAATTAGCCCTCATTCAAGCAACAATGCAGATTCCCAGTGGGAGAGAAACTATTCGACTCTGCCATTAAAAAATAGAGGTGTTTTCAGCAAAAAACGAATAACCCTGGAATGCACACAACACACTGAATTTTAGAACAAATCGTGCATTATTTACAGCATCAGAATACTACAGAAATATCAGACGAAACATGAAAACACTATATATTGTATTTCAGCCTGAACCCCCTCTATTGCAATTCCTGGAATTAACCCCATATGTGCATCCATTTTCCATCTTGGTATCACCCAACCCTGAAAACAAACTCTTAATACCTTGCTGAAGCATTTGGTAAAAAGCTGGTGTACATTAAAATGACTTTTGTTTTCATAGGTTAGTGCCACTTATGCTGATGGTTATAGGTTGACTGTTGTTTCAACTGTTGCTGGGCCTTGGGCTGCAGAGAAAGCACGCAGAACTGGAGAAGCTATCTTGAAAAGGTATTGATCTAAATTTTTTATCAACAGATTGACAAGTGGCTATTATAATATAGTTTTGTCCATATGTGTTAAGATGTGTTGTATTTTCATCAGCAAAAAATGTAGCATGATAACAGTGACTGTGGCATGATAACAGTGACTGTGGCATGATAACAGTGACTGTGGCAGGATAACAGTGACTGTGGCATGATAACAGTGACTGTGGCAGGATAAATATGAATGCACTCGCAGTGATGTTCTCCTGTTAATAATTTGGCTTTTGCAATATTCTCTCCAAGCTTGTGTCTGTGTACACTGTGTGCTCCAGACCAAAATGTTGTGTTCAAGCTCCAACATTGGATACAAATCACAACACTTTGTAACATTGTTTTGTTAGTCACATTTTTCAGCCCTATTTTGATGATCTTCTTAATTGAGACTTATATTTTAGACTTTGTGCATCCAGGCATCATACGTAATTTTTCAGCAATTTTGTTCAAATGAGCCACAAAGACAACAGATAAAGTTATACATTATGCACATGAATTGGTATTTTCCCACTAATGCTTGACCTACTCCCAAAAGCATCATTTGAACATGAGACAATGAGAAAAATCTGAAATGTGATCATGATATGAAGTGTACCATTGGCTTTAGAATGAGAAGGTCTTGATGAATTACCACTAAAAATCATTCACACCTATTTCTTGCTGTGTGATCAAATAAAGTAATAAACTGTGACAGTACATAATGTCATTAACCTCCAGGTACTGTTCTGTGTTTGTGTAAACATGGAATATAGAGATATAAATGCATTTACTTCATTTTTGTCTCACAGGACAAGAAGAATGTTCAAACAGCTTGGAATTACAGATTATACTAAGACACTGATACAGGTTAGTTAACATTTAATAGTTTATATTCTGGTAGTCCTGGTTCAAGACATAATAGTCTACATATGTACTGGGATTTAGTAAAATTTTGCCAACAGCTCCCACTAAAAACAAATCTTCAGATAATAGATCAGAAACTGTTGTGTGCAGTTCAGTGATGACACCCTAAAATGCTGAAAACTCAATCACAGGAGAATTACTTGCAATTTTCCAGTTTTCACTAATTTTTAGCTCTGCAGTCGACTTTCGTCAAACAGAACTAGTCATATTACTGATTGTCAGTCGTCATTGTCTGGGTCAGCTTTTTTACTTTTTGACTTCTTGAAAACTGCAAGTCTGTTTACTTTGATCAATTTGTTAGCAGTTGTCCAAAATATGTTTGAAATGCTAATGTTGATCCCAATAAAGCTTAGATAGACTTTCACTTAATAGTTTATGTACCAACAAAATGTGAAATAGAAGTATATAATGAAAGTAAAGATGCTTCTGTCTTAGATATCATATATTCTCAAACAGCTGGCCATTTTCGACGCCTGACAACCACAACCAGTGAGAACAATTGTCTAAAACTCAAAAAAACTGTACTTTGAGCTGGTTGTTTAGATTCTCCTGAACAGTCGAACAAATTTACAGCTACATGTGCAACATAAATAAATTTGATTGTTCATGCTCAGAGTAGTAACAATTAACATTTGGTTTTATATAACAAATGGACACAGTGTACAACATATTTGTCATTTAAGACAGTAAAAATGTCACACAATAATAGAAGAAATTATAAACTGATGATACAACAGGATGTTAAAATGTATATGTACAGAACATACATGGGCTATGTCATTCTCATAATCTTGTTCTGTCATGGGCAAGGTTGCAATAGTTTCACTATGTTTTGTTTGATGTAGGTCATTGGATCTGAACAGACATATGGTCCACAGGTATACCGTATTACCCCGGGCACGCGCCCAGGGGCCTGAACATACAAAATCGAGAAAAATTGGGTGTGGGCGCTTACCCGAGGACCACCCCAAAAAAGATTTTAAAAAGTTGTTTGGCACGGATCTAGAAGCCGTACCTACACACGAATTGGTGACGTCACAAAATACACGACCTTCAATCGGGGTTGTTTCCTCGGTATATACGAATTGGTATATACAAATTACAATAAAAATACTTAAGACATTGCACATAAGGTAAAATAAATCATGTGACAATATAATGATAATAACGGTAATAAATCCCAGCTTAACAGTTGAACAGAACGATCATATTGTCAGTCGGGTGACGCCAAGGGTCACGCTCTTATTGCAAAATGGCCCTGTGGTTGAAACTGGGTCATGGCGTGACGGGCGAGGAAGACATCATTAAACACTCTCAAAATCACAATAAAACGGGGAAGTGGTTGCATATTAGCCAACATGGGAAATAAAAAAACGCTCAATACAAACGACATGGGTTTGAATCACACTAGATACACACTCACCAGAACCGAAGCAATCAGAAACGAGCAATCGTTTTGGCTTTTCCGTTCAACTCATCGGAACACTGGAGTATTTAGAAAAATGAACACCACTTAACGACCAACGTCGTGGCGTGGTACACAAGCATGCCATCAAAATAAAACAAAATTAGCTTGAAAAGACAGTGGGTTCGAGTCCCGCTCAGAGCTACCGTAAAAACGTAAATCAAATAAACTGAAATCTCTCAAACCATAAACAAGTAAGCAAAGAACGTTG